AAGCTTGACTTCTCTGAAAGAGACAAACAACAGGTGACTCACCAGTTGAGCCTTCCCACGCCACTTAAGTCTGCCACTCTCTCAGTGTCGGTACCTGGTATCAGACTCATTGAAAATCATAGAAACTATGCCCTGCATATCGCATGCTCTGCATGGTGTTGTATAGACCGAATCCTATCCAGATTTCCCCACTATTCCGAATTAAAGTCGAATGTGTGGCGCATTCCAAAGCCACGGATGAAGGCTGATTGCTCTAATTTATGATTAGACGTCCGCATATGTGTTTCTTGTGTTATATAACAGCCGTTCTTTGATTATAAAATTTTCAGCATGTCACTGAAGAATGCAAAAAGGACCAGTCTAATTCTGGTCCTTTCTTCACGATATTTGGAGGATTGCTGCTGTTAGGTGTGGGAAGGTAGGGTCAACATCATCTGTTGAACTTGAATTTAATATTGACAAATTCACCAAATTCATTAATTTCTCACGTTAAGAACAGTACCGTTCGCACTTGGACTACCGTTGATGGACGACAACGTGAAGAAGCACAATCTTCCTCTTTATTTCGGTGCGCATAAATTTCCCTCAATTCCGTTCAATTTTCTGTACAGAAATACCTAGACTCATCAGGATCTTGTATTTTTTAAATGGTCAGGTTCTTTTCAGCATGCATGTTTTTTGTGAAAATTCTCGGACCTGTGATTGGGTTGCTTATTGGTAGCAAGCTCAACGAGATCTACTACAACTTTAATCGTAAGTGTATTTTCTCCTTAAAAAACTTCGTTCGGGATTGCTGAATGGGCGGGGTCAGGGATTGGTAATTGGTCTGCCCTGCTGTTCCCACCTACCACCCGCTTTGGACCGCTAGTCCTGAGAGGCGGCAGAAGGCAGCGGAGTCGATCGTACTGGTTCTGACCGGTTCGCAGTGAGTGTCTAATCGATTTGCCGTGTGAAGTCAGCTAGCTACTAGCCTCTGCTAATCGAAGTGTGACGCCGGGACCCCGGACTTTCGGCACACAGCCTCTCAAAGCCAGAGAAGGCAGAATGGGTAGGGCATACCAACGAGGGTACTTCCTGGCTTCGCTCATTCGGCAGCCTGAGATAGTGCATTTAATTTCGAGCGCGTAATCATTGCTTTGGGAGTGGAACTGAAACGATGGATTGCAAAGTTGAGAGAGCCATAGGGCTTTGATATCATGGTAATCCTACTGCAAGACAGGCCCTGCGATTGTATATTGCGGGTAGTGACGTCCAATTACAAACCTGTAGTCGCTGAGTGTCTCTCCAAAGACAAAAAAAAGTGCAAAGAACAAGGAGAACACTCTGGCTAAGGACCTGGAAGTCTCTTTGGACGAGCTGTTCCGACCGCTTTATGCCAGCAAAGCGGTATCTCTTCAACTCTAACTTACTAGTCGTCTCTTAGCGTCATCCAATACTTAAAGGCAGTTGGCACGATAAATCCCCCAAGACGACTAGGATCAATACTCCTGGCAGGATAGAATTCCGCGACCCTGGGCAGGCGCTGCATAGCGGTTTCCCGAGGAAGGTGCCCTTATAAGGGCCCTATCAAGCCACAACTTTACGTCCCAAACGCCCGCCACGCCCGCCCGCCCACAAATGGACGACCGTTCCTGACGCTCGTATTCATTCATTTGCTAAGCAAATTATGAAGCGAAGGGATTGGTATGAAGCGGCCGTGATGCTGCATGCATACATGGGTACACATATGCAGCCGTATCTTCGGTAGCGGTGATTGGTAAGATGCCTACGGGAAACTCGTCCGAAATCGATTTACAAGTCACTGAGAACGGAGGCTTTTTCTTCGCAGGATTTTGACCGTTTCACTCCGTTCTTTCGCCATTTCCCCACTATACAGCGCCCTACTAGCATTTTAGGCTAAGTAGGAAACCATCGTGCCAACTGCCTTTAAATCGTCTCACATTGAGAAAAACGAAAACACCATGTAAAAACTGAACTCCTGGCAGAAAATAGCTTTTGGTTCGCGAGGCAACTAGGGAGGCATCAGAACTGCTACTTATGAGGACTACAGCGCCTTCATTGCTTACTGTGAAGCTGAGAAAATAGAATAATCCTAGACGCTCAGAACCAGAGTATCTGTACAAGGGAGGACGGGTACAAGTAGCTCGAGGAGAACTGTCTTTAAACTGGGAGTATGGGGCTAGTTTTCCTCCCTTATATCACCTACTATTCTTGTCTCCGATTTTATTTTTTTATGTAATTTCTCGCTGACCCATATGTACCCACCTTTACCTATGCTCTTGATATACATATTGCAGCTCCACAAGGTCTCACTCCTTTGGATCCTATGTGGATTGGATGCTGGTGGCTCGGATTCATCATATTCGGGTGATCTTTACTTGCATATTTCATTTCTTTCATTCCTCAATTATCCCTCTTTGAGGGCTTCATAGTTTGTGCGTTGTTCTGCAACTTATTATTTCCAGAGTTTTCCTGTTCTTCCCGTCTCTGGCTCTTTTCTTGTTTCCTTCGGATCGTCTAGATGAGAGCAACGTAAAGATTTATCCCAAGGAAACAGCTGTTGAAGGAACAGCGTGAGTATTCGGTGTTTTGAAAACCTCTGGATATTTGGCACAGCCCTGATTAATTTGACCACTATCGACTCCTGTAAGCTTATTTTGAGTTACAGACCACTGAAGCCGAGAAAAACGCTGAACCTCTACGATAAGCACGTCACCATTCACGGCAAACACGTCACAGCAAGCGAAAAAATGAAGGGTATGTGAAATTTGTTCTCCAGCAGTTTTCATTCCATAGGCTCACATCTCTACGGCTCGGCAAGAGAAAAAACGTGTTGGTCAATAAAGGAGTAAGGATGTGGGACTCGAAAGAACTTGAGGTTTCATGAGAGGCAGGACTAGCTCCACTCTACTTCAAGCTGGGCATAGCGTATTTTGTGGGCTCCATCCAGGGGATCGTATTTGGTTGATAGGGGGAGGGGGCCGTATTTGCTTCTGAGAAAAATGTTTTTGTCTGTTGTCTTTCCTCGCTTTTTCCTCTTTCAAAGCCTACGTCCCCCTCCGCTGCAGTTTTCTTGTTTTTGGAAAAACAGGATAATTTTTGGAAAAATCTCCCGAAAGTGCAACGATGTTGGGAGGATTTACATGGTAGTAGGTTGGAGGAAGTAGAAGGACGAGGGAAGGGTCGTATTTTGCAGAAATTCACTCCAGCGGCAGGGCATGTCCTTCTTTCAAGCGAGCGCACGAAACCTGTCATCAGTGCACGTCGTAGGTTGAAGAGTAGGGTCACATTCGGTCTGAATCCTGGGAAGAAAATCCAATTGTTGATTTTCTCCTTATCAGATGAGCTATGTACTATCGCACTACTAGTTGCAAGCATGGTGGAGCTATTACCTACGTTCTTTCAAGGATCTTTGGAGGAGTCTTCACTTTCCTACCCTCACCTCCCTTCCTCACTCGGCTTCAATATTTGCCAGGTTTTTGGGAGAATTAGAAGCATAAGGTTGTGAGAGGGCGGTCGAGCAGAGGGCCGGGCATTTTCCCAAAAACTTGGCATTCGTAGCGGGAGAGGACAACTGGGACGTTGGGAAAGTTCCCCTCAACGCCAAGCCGTGTCGTGGTATAGCCGTGAGGCGAAGAGACCGGGCGTGAGAGGTTCTCCCGACAAAATGCCAAGACATATTGAGAAATGGTCTATTTTCTTTCTATGGTCAACGCATAAGAACCTTGTGGAACCACGGGTGAACTTGAATGATAAACCATTAGATGTGACAGGCGAAATCGAT